TAATTAAGACATCACTAACAGGTAAAGTAAAATATAATGAGTATATAGTATACTATAGAATATACAGTATTTCGCCAAATGCTCTTCTCTAGACTTCATTTGTAGCGAACTTACGAGCTGTGGGCACTGATGACTTGCCTGAGGTAAATGAAATGCTACGTGACATTTTGTTTACAAGCTGTTTTATTCACATCTCAAGTTGCTGTTTTTTTAAATAAATCCAGTTTTCTGAAGAAAAGTTTTCTTAGGGATAAAAATCTACCTCAGTTTATGCTCTAAACTATAGGGAGCCCTTTTTTCATTATGAACAACAGAGCCCAAGCTTAGATTCAATTACTATTTATTTTTAAATATAATAATCAACATTCAAATTACAAAATTGTATGCAAACATGTAAATTTCAGATAATGCCTTTTTTAAATTAACTTCTAGATCTAGATCTAATTACTAATAATTAAGACATCACTAACAGGTAAAGTAAAATATAATGAGTATATAGTATACTATAGAATATACAGTATTTCGCCAAATGCTCTTCTCTAGACTTCATTTGTAGCGAACTAACGAGCTGTGGGCACTGATGACTTGCCTGAGGTAAATGAAATGCTACGTGACATTTTGTTTACAAGCTGTTTTATTGACATCTTTCTGAGGTTGAAACACTGATTGAGTGATTACATGAGGCACAAGATGTTCATTCATGTTTATTTCAACTAATAGTAAAGAGGAAGGGATGATCACACTCACTCGCACTCCACGCTGCCATTTGACCTGAGGCACCAATACAGAGATCTGTCACAATACAGATCAAAACGGCATTTATTGTTTGAATTTCCTGAAAAAAAAATGGACATCATTTGAATGATGAGACTTTGTTTCTTATCAAAATAACAATATCTAAGACTGGACATTTCCAATGAAGTTCCACTCGTGCAGTGGTTAAACCAATGCCGTATTTGTTTGGTACACATGCATATCGAACCGAAAGAAATATGTGTACCGTTACACCCATATTATTTATCATGTTTGAGCTATCCAAAATATTTAATAAACACCAAAGGGACAAGGAACATGTAGAATTTTGTGAATGATGACCATTTGTATTTTGCAGAAATTGGCAAATTAGTGTTGGCAGAGCTCTGTGAGCGCAGAGTCCTTGTAGATCAGTGTGAGGCTGAATATTGTTGCAGTTTTTGGTGTTAGAGAGCCATTTGTCACTCACGTCACTTCATAGTGTCAGTGCTGAAGTCCTAATCTGTCCTCCTTACCTCCCTCTTTTCTTCTTACAGCCCTCAATCCTATTATTCTTTCTGGGAAAACTCCTAAGATGTATAGAGCTCAGGAAGCATCAAGATCTTTGACATGCTTGTCAAATAGTGGCATTGTGGAGGTGGATAAAGGATACCAAGCACAGATTTCTCTGTTGGGGCTCTTCGCAGCCCTCCAAGCGAAGCATAAGGTTTGTTCACCTCTCAGCAAACCTCTCCTGTCTGACCTTTCAGAGGAGGAGAGTCACAATATCCCCCGGCAAAGCTGCACAGTCAGGCAGGTTCAGACCTCTCCACTTCACATCAATCAATAAACACTTTATAAACACTGGCAGGCAGCTTTTTCTTTTCAGCCAGGTCATGACTCACATCAAAAGAGATTCACAGGTCATACCACATGCTGAAAACTATCACACAGCAGTATCGAGAGCCTTGAGAAACATATTTTATTTTGCTAATCCACTTTGGTAACTAGAACTAGCTAGAAGTACTTCCTAACTAGAAGTAACTTTTCAACTACATGTAAACTAACTCTCATTAGAGTGTTAGTAGACTATTAGGTTAGAGTTAGGTTTGGGGTTAGTTGGATAAGTTGACTTGTTGCAAAGTTACTTATAGTCAGCAGAATATATAAAGGGGACTAATGAAATAAAGTGTTACCCATAAGCCATTTAGATGCTGTTTTTTGTTTGTTTTTTAGGTTTTGCTATGTAAAATCTTTAATTTAAAAAATGCAATCGTTATTACTTTCTCTTTGACATATGTAGGCCTCTGCTTAATGAAATGAATTGAAGCTTGTCACAGAAGTCCTTGTTGAGCGAGTAGGCGTTCCTGGAGTGTACTAGTGAAGTTTAAGAAGTTGGCCACGTTCACTGAGGACAAGTTTTGTGATATGTGGCGTGAAATTTGCTCTGTGAAATATTAAAATTTGACAATGACTCACTGACTTGCTCCCTGCGTAAATGCAATATTAACAGCTGCTGAATTTATTATCTTACAGTATCAGTAACACTGAAATCAGGAACAGAATTTTACTTTTCTTTGTGTAGTTCGTATGGTTCTGAGTGGTGTCAGGAGACCAAATCTTTATATTAAATGTTTTCAGTGTCTAGGTTAATTCTGGGTTTTGCCATTAACACTAACCAGATTTTGGTAACAATTTATAATATGGTTATATTAGTTAGCATGAACTAACAATAATATTTAATCATAGTTCATGTTAATTTCAACATTTACTAATACATTATTAAAATCAAAAGTTGTATCTTAATATTTAATGGTCCTGAACTAACAATGAACAGTTGTATTTTTATTAAATTGTTAACAAGGATTAATAAATACTGTTGCAAATGTCTTGCTCGTTGTTAATTAATGGTAGTTAATGCATTAACTAATGGAACCCAGATTTTTTTTGTACCACTGTGCCACAAACAATACTTTTTAAGAACTTTTAACATTTCAAGATGTATAAAAAACACTTAAAAACATTTAATTATGAATGAGCATGAATTAGCAATGAGCAATAGTACATTAATTCATAAAAATTAACCTAGATTAAGAAATGCTGTAAAAACTATTGTTCATTTTTCGTTCATGATACCCAATGCATTAACTAATGTTTACATGTTGAACTTTCTTGTAAAGTTTTACCGAAATATTTTAGTATGATAACCGTATTTGTCATCTTAATATTTTGACCTTTCATTGAAAGCCAAAGTCAAGGGTCCATGTGTTCTGTCAGGTGACATTGTGAAATTATTAACAGCGTTTACACTGTTAAAACAACGTACATTCTCATCTAAACAAACCATTGTTGTCTGCCTGGATTCTAGGCAGCTGATGGGAGTAAACATAAGCTGTTTGCGGATGTGCCTTTAAGTACACCGTGTCACACATCAGAGACCTTTTTGTTAATGATAGGCTGGATGAGCTTTGAATTTTATAAGCGGACCCAGCGTGAGTAAATTTGAAACATCTCTTTGACAGATCACTCTGTATGGTGTGTATTTGGCTTGAACTGATGAGTAGTTCTGGCTTGTGTGGATGTTGTGCAACCATCAGCTGAAAAGCTAGCTTAAAGCTACCACTGATAGGCCATTAATGTGGGTCAACTTTTAGAAAGAAGTATGAAAGAAAAGAGAGATTTGTATTACATGGCTTTTTGGATTGCAGTATATTAGTATAGCATGCCTAATTTTCTTGAGAATGAATTCGCAGTCTTGGATATGGCTTTAGTAAACTCATGTTAATTGCTTCTATTTTGCAAATGAAGATGGACATTGGACCAAGTTCTTAGAACATGTCAGCGTTTTCAGCACCAGTCCTCAGATGGGTAACGCTGGTGACAATGAAACCCAAATGTTACTGCAAGAACTCTAAATACTGTCAACAGTTTTTCCAGGAATCTTCAAAGAAATGACTCTGAGGTACTTGGGTTCTATTTAATACTATTACTATTAACAACATTTTTGTAAATTGAATTAAAGCCAAAATAAAATAAAATATTGGATGAAAATGACAAAAGCACATAGAATTACTAAAAATATATAGATAAATGAGAACTGAAAATATATTTAAAAAATAATAGTATATAAATAATACTAAAATAGCACTGGATCTGTGTGTTCCATTGTCAGCTCTAGATGCTGCATTCACACTCTTGAGATGACGTTTCATGTAATACCCTCTTCTTCATGTACTGATTTGATTGCATTGGCTCTTGAATAATGATTCACAGTAGGAGACTTTTTTTAAATAAAGAGGCTTTTATAAATCACTCATTTAGTAGGCCTGATTCTCCTACTCTGCAACAGGCATATAGTCATTTCCCCAGTGTGTGTGTGTGTGTGTGTGTATGGGACACTTGCTGCCATGACCCTGTTGTGTGTGAGCGAGAGAAAGTTAATGAGTGGGTAATGGGATAACAATGTTCCACAAGCATTTACTAAAGCTTAGTCTACTAGTAGGCTTAACCACTGAGCTCAGTGCCTTTTCCCCTGTAGTTCTATGCTCATTTTTTCCCTCATGCTACAAACTGCATTTGATTTTGCTATTGATATGCTTTTTAAAAATGCAATTTAGATTCACCTTTACCAAAGAAAAAAATAGCATCTCTCTTTTATCGCAATTGTTTATCCTAGACAGCAATGAGAGAGCATTGAGAATTAATTGAAACTTTTTCCCTACATCTTATGGTTATCATATTGTTCAGTCTCCCAGCATTCTCAGCATGTTTCTCTTTTGGAGTTTCGGAAGAGGTCTTAAAGTGTTAGTTACCCAAAAATGGAAATTCTGTCATGATTTATCTCACCCTCATGTCGTTCCACACCTGTATGACGTTTGTTCATCTTTGACATGCAAATGAAGACATTTTTAATTAAACCTTAGAGATTTTTGTCCCTCAGTGTTTGTATGTGAATAGATAAAACCGTTTTGAAATAGCATAAGGGTGAGTAAATTATGGCAGAATTTTAATTTTTGGATGACCTTTACATTTAATGATATCACAAACTGTGCTCACAAAATATGCAATCAAACGATTTTATGATGAATTTGTCATCAGGTTCTTACACAAGACCAAATGATCTGAGCCATGCCATCCAATTTAACTAATAATAAACAATGTCTTCTCCATTCAGTTCTCCTAGGGAATTTTAGGGGGAAAAGCATCTGAGAAAAAGTTGATACTTAAATGAAACATAACCATTTGTCTCTTCTTCTCTGGCAAAACAGATCTGAGTGATCAGCTCCTGGAGGTGGTGGGTTTGGAGGGAGCCATCGAGATGGGTCAGATCTACACAGGTCTCAAGAGCGCTGGGCGGCGCCTTGCACAGTGTTCTAGTGTCACCATCAGGTCAGCAGTTCATGCCTGTCCACATTCACATTGACTAAAAGTTCAGTATTTGTTCAACTCATAGACAAACACTCTGATTATTTGTGTCCATGGCTCTGAAACATCTCTTCCCCCTCCCCCTCAGCAGGACATCCTCTCTTGGCCAGTGCAGCTAGTAAATCAGACCTTTGACCTGCTGTCACTCGCTTTGCCAACAGCTCTAACATTCTGGAGCCGCTCGTACTTATGAATGATGATGTTTGTAGCATGTCTAAACACACACACACACTAATGGGGTCTCTTATGCTCATCAAGGCTGTATTTATTTGATCAAAAAAACAGAAAAAAACTGTAATATTGTGAAATATTATTGCAATTTCTAATATTGGTTTCCTATTTTAATATACTTTAAAATATAATTTATTTCTGTGACACAGCACTGAATTTTCATCAGCCATTACTCCAGTTTTCAGTATCACATGATCCTTCAGAAATCATTCTAATATACTGATTTATAATCTGTGTTGAAACTGTTGTGCTGCTTAATATTTCTTTGGAACCTGCTTTTTCCATTGATTCTTTGATGAATAAAATGTTAAAATCAACAGCATTTATTCAAAATAGAAATCTTTTCTAACAGCATAAGTCTTTACTATCACTTTTTAGTTCCCAAACTAAATATTAAGCAGCACAACAGTTTCAACACTGATAATAAATCAGCATATTAGAATTATTTCTGAAGGATCGTGTGACACTGAAGACTGGAGTAATGATGCTGAAATTTCAGCTTTGCTTCACAGAAATAAATTACATTTTAAAGTATATTAAAATAGAAAACTGTTATTTTTTAAATTGCAATAATATTTCACAAAATTAATTTTTTTTCTGTATTTTTGATCAAATAGATACATCCTTGATGAGCATAAAATTTTTTACTGAAAGACAACCATTTGAATTTTGCAGAAATAGGCAAATTAGTGTTCACATATGTCTGTGAGTGCAGAGTCCATGTAGATCCGTGTGATGCTGAATATAGTTGCAGTTTTGGGTGTTAGAGAGCCGTTTGTCACCCGTGTCACTTTCACTTCATAGTGTCAGTGCTGAAGTCCTAATCTGTCCTCCTTACCTCCCTCTTTTCTTCTTACAGCCCTCAATCCTATTATTCTTTCTGGGAAAACTCCTAAGATGTATAGAGCTCAGGAAGCATCAAGATCTTTGACATGCTTGTCAAATAGTGGCATTGTGGAGGTGGATAAAGGATACCAAGCACAGATTTCTCTGTTGGGGCTCTTCGCAGCCCTCCAAGCGAAGCATAAGGTTTGTTCACCTCTCAGCAAACCTCTCCTGTCTGACCTTTCAGAGGAGGAGAGTCACAATATCCCCCGGCAAAGCTGCACAGTCAGGCAGGTTCAGACCTCTCCACTTCACATCAATCAATAAACACTTTATAAACACTGGCAGGCAGCTTTTTCTTTTCAGCCAGGTCATGACTCACATCAAAAGAGATTCACAGGTCATACCACATGCTGAAAACTATCACACAGCAGTATCGAGAGCCTTGAGAAACATATTTTATTTTGCTAATCCACTTTGGTAACTAGAACTAGCTAGAAGTACTTCCTAACTAGAAGTAACTTTTCAACTACATGTAAACTAACTCTCATTAGAGTGTTAGTAGACTATTAGGTTAGAGTTAGGTTTGGGGTTAGTTGGATAAGTTGACTTGTTGCAAAGTTACTTATAGTCAGCAGAATATATAAAGGGGACTAATGAAATAAAGTGTTACCCATAAGCCATTTAGATGCTGTTTTTTGTTTGTTTTTTAGGTTTTGCTATGTAAAATCTTTAATTTAAAAAATGCAATCGTTATTACTTTCTCTTTGACATATGTAGGCCTCTGCTTAATGAAATGAATTGAAGCTTGTCACAGAAGTCCTTGTTGAGCGAGTAGGCGTTCCTGGAGTGTACTAGTGAAGTTTAAGAAGTTGGCCACGTTCACTGAGGACAAGTTTTGTGATATGTGGCGTGAAATTTGCTCTGTGAAATATTAAAATTTGACAATGACTCACTGACTTGCTCCCTGCGTAAATGCAATATTAACAGCTGCTGAATTTATTATCTTACAGTATCAGTAACACTGAAATCAGGAACAGAATTTTACTTTTCTTTGTGTAGTTCGTATGGTTCTGAGTGGTGTCAGGAGACCAAATCTTTATATTAAATGTTTTCAGTGTCTAGGTTAATTCTGGGTTTTGCCATTAACACTAACCAGATTTTGGTAACAATTTATAATATGGTTATATTAGTTAGCATGAACTAACAATAATATTTAATCATAGTTCATGTTAATTTCAACATTTACTAATACATTATTAAAATCAAAAGTTGTATCTTAATATTTAATGGTCCTGAACTAACAATGAACAGTTGTATTTTTATTAAATTGTTAACAAGGATTAATAAATACTGTTGCAAATGTCTTGCTCGTTGTTAATTAATGGTAGTTAATGCATTAACTAATGGAACCCAGATTTTTTTTTTGTACCACTGTGCCACAAACAATACTATTTAAGAACTTTTAACATTTCAAGATGTATAAAAAACACTTAAAAACATTTAATTATGAATGAGCATGAATTAGCAATGAGCAATAGTACATTAATTCATCAAAATTAACCTAGATTAAGAAATGCTGTAAAAACTATTGTTCATTTTTCGTTCATGATACCCAATACATTAACTAATGTTTACATGTTGAACTTTCTTGTAAAGTTTTACCGAAATATTTTAGTATGATAACCGTATTTGTCATCTTAATATTTTGACCTTTCATTGAAAGCCAAAGTCAAGGGTCCATGTGTTCTGTCAGGTGACATTGTGAAATTATTAACAGCGTTTACACTGTTAAAACAACGTACATTCTCATCTAAACAAACCATTGTTGTCTGCCTGGATTCTAGGCAGCTGATGGGAGTAAACATAAGCTGTTTGCGGATGTGCCTTTAAGTACACCGTGTCACACATCAGAGACCTTTTTGTTAATGATAGGCTGGATGAGCTTTGAATTTTATAAGCGGACCCAGCGTGAGTAAATTTGAAACATCTCTTTGACAGATCACTCTGTATGGTGTGTATTTGGCTTGAACTGATGAGTAGTTCTGGCTTGTGTGGATGTTGTGCAACCATCAGCTGAAAAGCTAGCTTAAAGCTACCACTGATAGGCCATTAATGTGGGTCAACTTTTAGAAAGAAGTATGAAAGAAAAGAGAGATTTGTATTACATGGCTTTTTGGATTGCAGTATATTAGTATAGCATGCCTAATTTTCTTGAGAATGAATTCGCAGTCTTGGATATGGCTTTAGTAAACTCATGTTAATTGCTTCTATTTTGCAAATGAAGATGGACATTGGACCAAGTTCTTAGAACATGTCAGCGTTTTCAGCACCAGTCCTCAGATGGGTAACGCTGGTGACAATGAAACCCAAATGTTACTGCAAGAACTCTAAATACTGTCAACAGTTTTTCCAGGAATCTTCAAAGAAATGACTCTGAGGTACTTGGGTTCTATTTAATACTATTACTATTAACAACATTTTTGTAAATTGAATTAAAGCCAAAATAAAATAAAATATTGGATGAAAATGACAAAAGCACATAGAATTACTAAAAATATATAGATAAATGAGAACTGAAAATATATTTAAAAAATAATAGTATATAAATAATACTAAAATAGCACTGGATCTGTGTGTTCCATTGTCAGCTCTAGATGCTGCATTCACACTCTTGAGATGACGTTTCATGTAATACCCTCTTCTTCATGTACTGATTTGATTGCATTGGCTCTTGAATAATGATTCACAGTAGGAGACTTTTTTTAAATAAAGAGGCTTTTATAAATCACTCATTTAGTAGGCCTGATTCTCCTACTCTGCAACAGGCATATAGTCATTTCCCCAGTGTGTGTGTGTGTGTGTGTGTATGGGACACTTGCTGCCATGACCCTGTTGTGTGTGAGCGAGAGAAAGTTAATGAGTGGGTAATGGGATAACAATGTTCCACAAGCATTTACTAAAGCTTAGTCTACTAGTAGGCTTAACCACTGAGCTCAGTGCCTTTTCCCCTGTAGTTCTATGCTCATTTTTTCCCTCATGCTACAAACTGCATTTGATTTTGCTATTGATATGCTTTTTAAAAATGCAATTTAGATTCACCTTTACCAAAGAAAAAAATAGCATCTCTCTTTTATCGCAATTGTTTATCCTAGACAGCAATGAGAGAGCATTGAGAATTAATTGAAACTTTTTCCCTACATCTTATGGTTATCATATTGTTCAGTCTCCCAGCATTCTCAGCATGTTTCTCTTTTGGAGTTTCGGAAGAGGTCTTAAAGTGTTAGTTACCCAAAAATGGAAATTCTGTCATGATTTATCTCACCCTCATGTCGTTCCACACCTGTATGACGTTTGTTCATCTTTGACATGCAAATGAAGACATTTTTAATTAAACCTTAGAGATTTTTGTCCCTCAGTGTTTGTATGTGAATAGATAAAACCGTTTTGAAATAGCATAAGGGTGAGTAAATTATGGCAGAATTTTAATTTTTGGATGACCTTTACATTTAATGATATCACAAACTGTGCTCACAAAATATGCAATCAAACGATTTTATGATGAATTTGTCATCGCTTTTTTTAAATAAAGAGGCTTTTATAAATCACTCATTTAGTAGGCCTGATTCTCCTACTCTGCAACAGGCATATAGTCATTTCCCCAGTGTGTGTGTGTGTGTGTGTGTATGTATGGGACACTTGCTGCCATGACCCTGTTGTGTGTGAGCGAGAGAAAGTTAATGAGTGGGTAATGGGATAACAATGTTCCACAAGCATTTACTAAAGCTTAGTCTACTAGTAGGCTTAACCACTGAGCTCAGTGCCTTTTCCCCTGTAGTTCTATGCTCATTTTTTCCCTCATGCTACAAACTGCATTTGATTTTGCTATTGATATGCTTTTTAAAAATGCAATTTAGATTCACCTTTACCAAAGAAAAAAATAGCATCTCTCTTTTATCGCAATTGTTTATCCTAGACAGCAATGAGAGAGCATTGAGAATTAATTGAAACTTTTTCCCTACATCTTATGGTTATCATATTGTTCAGTCTCCCAGCATTCTCAGCATGTTTCTCTTTTGGAGTTTCGGAAGAGGTCTTAAAGTGTTAGTTACCCAAAAATGGAAATTCTGTCATGATTTATCTCACCCTCATGTCGTTCCACACCTGTATGACGTTTGTTCATCTTTGACATGCAAATGAAGACATTTTTAATTAAACCTTAGAGATTTTTGTCCCTCAGTGTTTGTATGTGAATAGATAAAACCGTTTTGAAATAGCATAAGGGTGAGTAAATTATGGCAGAATTTTAATTTTTGGATGACCTTTACATTTAATGATATCACAAACTGTGCTCACAAAATATGCAATCAAACGATTTTATGATGAATTTGTCATCAGGTTCTTACACAAGACCAAATGATCTGAGCCATGCCATCCAATTTAACTAATAATAAACAATGTCTTCTCCATTCAGTTCTCCTAGGGAATTTTAGGGGGAAAAGCATCTGAGAAAAAGTTGATACTTAAATGAAACATAACCATTTGTCTCTTCTTCTCTGGCAAAACAGATCTGAGTGATCAGCTCCTGGAGGTGGTGGGTTTGGAGGGAGCCATCGAGATGGGTCAGATCTACACAGGTCTCAAGAGCGCTGGGCGGCGCCTTGCACAGTGTTCTAGTGTCACCATCAGGTCAGCAGTTCATGCCTGTCCACATTCACATTGACTAAAAGTTCAGTATTTGTTCAACTCATAGACAAACACTCTGATTATTTGTGTCCATGGCTCTGAAACATCTCTCTTCCCCCTCCCCCTCAGCAGGACATCCTCTCTTGGCCAGTGCAGCTAGTAAATCAGACCTTTGACCTGCTGTCACTCGCTTTGCCAACAGCTCTAACATTCTGGAGCCGCTCGTACTTATGAATGATGATGTTTGTAGCATGTCTAAACACACACACACACACTCCTGATGTATGCTAATGAACCGGTGGAGACTTAACATTTCTGAGGTGCTAGTTCACAAGTTTGTGTTGCCGTGGCCTGCTTCACTTAAACACTCATAATGACCTTAACAGTTATAGCTAGAGTTAGAATTGAAGCGAGGTGGTTATTCACAATTTTCGCTGATGTTTTCTCACCTTTACACAGGGCCATTCTGCCTATGACCTAATACTTTCCGTAATAGGCATTAATAGTCCATTCATCAATGTCATTCTCCCATACTGTGTTGCTTTAACTCGTAGTGGCCCTCCTGAAAAGACTAAAGTAACTTTTTGTAACTGTGTGTATGTGGGAATGGAGATTCTGAACTGAGTGAGTGTGTTAGTTTAGAGAGTAAGGGGCTTGGCTGGGAACGGGGCTGTGGGAACAAAGAGCACAGTGTTCAGAGCCGTGTAGGAAAAGTGTTGTATAGGAGCCTCGTGCCCGCGATCTGCCTGGTCAGTGACCTGACCCGTAACAGCTCTGTCTTTTTTTCTCTGTCCTTGTCTCTATGTCCACAGGACGTCCCGGCTGCTGCCCATGCAGATTGATGGGGAACCATGGATGCAGCCTCCATGCACGGTCAGCTCATTTGATTTTGCTTTTATTTAAAATATTTTTTTTTGAAAATGTTTAAAAATCTTAAACAGACTTTTTCATGACACATACCAGCCAATGTGTCCAACACTGTAATTAAAGTGAGTAATTAAACAAGACAACACATTTAGGCTGATTTCACCTACAACTCAATTACTTGGTCCAAACCTGAGTTCGATTCCACGCCAAAGGAATCATTTTCTTTTATGTTTTTATCTCAAATAAATTACACTACATTCAAGATTATTTTTGTTTTGTTTAGTTTTTTTGTTTGCAAGTACTTGTTGGTTCTGTGGAGCTGCAACAGAATAACTCTGCATTACTACATCCGAGTGGCAAAAGATTCTAAATTCTAAATAAACCATATTCTCTGCTTTTAAAGTTCCCAATGTGATGTAATGTGAAGTCAGATACACCCAATGTTCAATGATAGAGCAGGACCTTTTCTCCATCTCAGAAAATTGCCTCCTCCGGTCTGTTGCAGCTTTGTACATTCACCCATCCCAGCAAGCAGACTGTTAATTAAAACACTGTCATGTCACACCCTGCCATTGACTGATTATGTCATTAAGAGAGGGGAATAAACATGCAGCTTTCCATCTGCACGTAGCGCCAACACAATGTCCTCCGCTATATATACATCTCTATCAGCGCAAGCTCTATAAAAAGTGTGCCGCTGTGCTTTTAGTCCTCGCTAATTTGCCCAACTGTGCAAAGGGGAACATGGGATGTTATTTCAGTTTCAAGGTCAGCTCTTACTTTCTCAAATTTGTGCCTGTTAATCTGGACATGTGTGACTTCTGTCAGCTCATTTGCTGAATGTGAGCGAGACAACTGCTTAAAACAGTGAGTAATTAACAAGCAGAAGGATTTAACCAACTGTTCAGATTTGGTTGTCTTCAGAGAATAATCTTGCCTTCTTTCCTGCAGATACGGATCACGCATAAGAACCAAGTTCCCATGCTGCTGGGACCGCCACAGAAAACATTCTTCTTCTTCAAGAAGCGCAACAGAAGTCGGGACTAGATGTGGGACTCCAAAATTCAACCACTCTTCTACAATCATACAAACACACTCAAACATCTCCACCTTCCTCAGCTAATTCTTCATCTTTGGCAGGTGGCAGCCAAAGAGAAGACACTTTTCAATCACTTTTGTGAGACAAATCAATACAAATACAACACTGTAATGGGCCTCTAATGGACTCCATCTCCCAACACATTCAGATGTTCATAGGCTGAACCAGTTGAACGGACCCTCTCTGAGTGTCATGACCACTTCCTGTGTCTTATCATCCGGAACGTCTTATCACAGGCTTGTGACCTGTAAGCTATGACTCGATTCCAACTAAATCCCCCCTACCAGTAGGCCACTGCCTTGGGATCACACTGTGTGCCCTCTCCCTCCTCTTGAGACGGCTCATCAGAGCAGACTGTTAATTAAAACACTGTCATGTCACACCCTGCCATTGACTGATTATGTCATTAAGAGAGGGGAATAAACATGCAGCTTTCCATCTGCACGTAGCGCCAACACAATGTCCTCCGCTATATATACATCTCTATCAGCGCAAGCTCTATAAAAAGTGTGCCGCTGTGCTTTTAGTCCTCGCTAATTTGCCCAACTGTGCAAAGGGGAACATGGGATGTTATTTCAGTTTCAAGGTCAGCTCTTACTTTCTCAAATTTGTGCCTGTTAATCTGGACATGTGTGACTTCTGTCAGCTCATTTGCTGAATGTGAGCGAGACAACTGCTTAAAACAGTGAGTAATTAACAAGCAGAAGGATTTAACCAACTGTTCAGATTTGGTTGTCTTCAGAGAATAATCTTGCCTTCTTTCCTGCAGATACGGATCACGCATAAGAACCAAGTTCCCATGCTGCTGGGACCGCCACAGAAAACATTCTTCTTCTTCAAGAAGCGCAACAGAAGTCGGGACTAGATGTGGGACTCCAAAATTCAACCACTCTTCTACAATCATACAAACACACTCAAACATCTCCACCTTCCTCAGCTAATTCTTCATCTTTGGCAGGTGGCAGCCAAAGAGAAGACACTTTTCAATCACTTTTGTGAGACAAATCAATACAAATACAACACTGTAATGGGCCTCTAATGGACTCCATCTCCCAACACATTCAGATGTTCATAGGCTGAACCAGTTGAACGGACCCTCTCTGAGTGTCATGACCACTTCCTGTGTCTTATCATCCGGAACGTCTTATCACAGGCTTGTGACCTGTAAGCTATGACTCGATTCCAACTAAATCCCCCCTACCAGTAGGCCACTGCCTTGGGATCACACTGTGTGCCCTCTCCCTCCTCTTGAGATGGCTCATCAGAAGATACTGCCAATTTCAAAGAGAAAAAGAGAGGGAGGACCAGAAGTGAAGAGACTCGCCCAGTAAAGGGAAAAGAAGTGTGTTCAAGTGAAAAGAGAAGGAAAGCAAGAGACACCCTGGCATGATAATGTTCTTCGCATGAGAGTTGGTGGTGCATATATGGTCGTCACTGAGCCCGGGAACAAACTTTCCTCCTGAAAGAGCTCACTGAATTATACATCAGTGCATGCAAAGCACTCATTCCAGTGCCTCTCCAAGGCCCTGCAACATGCCACCACTAAAGAGATGAAGTAGCATACTCATCCATTATGATAAGATTATAAGATGTTTATGGGGGTCTGCTGATAGAGATAGGTCAGACTAGCCTGAATGAGATGAAACATTTCAGCTTCTGTTGTTTGCTCTGGGCAGTTCTGGTGTTCACCCTCAGGCCACAAAAGTGACCAGTGCAAGTTTTGTTACAGTTAGCTGGATGTTCATTTATTCCCATACTGCCCTCTAAAACAACAATGCTAGCGTTCAGTGTGGAGAATGTCTTTCAAAAATGCCAGGAGTTTAGAGAATCAGTGGACTAAAAGAGTTTTATCAATTAGCGTTTATATCGTAGCAATGTGGCAATCTGTGCAATAATTTGATGATTTTATCGTATTTTTAAGCCAAATCAAAATAGCGTGCCATTAAGTTTGGGAGTAGATTCTGTGTGATTTTCCCTGTCGATTAAAAACATCTTACACCAGCCTATACTGGCTATGCTGGTCTGCTGGCTAGTTTCAGAGGGTTTTGGGCACTTTTCAGCTGGTCAGGCAGGGAGAGTTGCAGGTTACGCAGCTAGACCAGCTGAAGACCATCGTAATAGCCTTTTCACACCAACATGAATGTACGGCATGGAAATTCGGTCCAGTTTTCGCATGTGATTTGTCTGTACAGACCAATGCGAAAAATGAATGACTGAATGAAAAATGCAACTTAACTTTATGACAGTAGATGGCGCTTACAGAAAATTAGTTTTATGTAACAGCAGCGACTCAGGGCATGTGACCAAAAAGTGTGAATCGTATTGGTTGGCTGGGTTTCTTGTGTTGGACATTTCTGTAAAAAAAAAAATAATAATCTGTGTGAATGTTTGTCTAAATCTGAGCAGAAGCATTAATAGCTGTTCATTCAAATTAAAATGTTTATCACACTGAATTTTCGTCTTGGTGTGAACAGGCCTTACACCAGCTAAAACCATCAAACCAGTTTAGGCTGTTTTAAGCATTTTATCAGCAAAGTACGATTTTAATAATTTTTTTATATAAAAATAAGGACATAATGGTAAAACTTTAAGACAAGGATCAATTTGTTAACATTTGTTAATGTATTAGATGTTGACAGCTAACACTGAAAATATATTTACAGTCTGTAATCTAGATTAACCTTAATTTATAAACTCAATTGCTTGGTCCAAGTTCAATTCCACCCCATAAATTTATGCTATTGTTCATTGTCAAATCATTTATATTCATATTATGCTAAACAATATTCATTAATACAACCTGAAAACCTATGAATATATTGCATACATTATTAACATTGGCCAGTAGTAATAAATCCTGTAAAAATATGAATTGTTCATTGATGCATTAACCAATGTTAACAAATTAAATATTATATTTTGTTACAGAAATAATAGTTTAAGGAAAAATATGCTACACATTTCTGAAAAAAAACAAAGTCTCCATTCAGAGGCGGGCTGAAATCGAGCCAGCGCTGGTATTAACACTGAATCCTCTGGTCCCCGTCTGTCACAACAAGCTACTGCAGTGGGGTTTGATTTACTGCTGCATGGACGGAGCCTAAATTTAGCTTCCTATTTCAGGGCATGAAACACTATTCCTAATTGCAGCATGAAAACATCAGCTCGCAATTTCAGGTCGACAGTCAAGCGGGTTTGAAAGAGGACTAGATGAATGCAGAAAACAGAAGTTACTTACAGTTGTCGTCAACAGCAGTGACTTCAAGATCCAAAAAGTGAGCTTTGTAATCTTTTAGCCCTTCGGAGAAGGCCCGTAAAGAGTATTTAATTTAAAGATGCCCACTATGTATCGGTATTTGTATAATCCAAGAGCCTTGTGTGCATATATATGAATGTGTTTAAAGGTATAGCTTAATATAGTATCAGAGATTAGCAGTGATACCTAATGGGTCACATGATTGACTGTAGCCATCAGGCAGATGTTCCTGATATAGGTCAACATGCAGTGATCATCAGATGCTTTCGCAGTGTGCCATAGGGTGTTGGAACTATATATATATATACAGTGGGGAAAAAAAGTATTTAGTCAGCCACCAATTGTGCAAGTTCTCCCACTTAAAAAGATGAGAGAGGCCTGTAATTTTCATCATAGGGTCAGATTGACTTAAAGTTCATGTGTCGGCTTTAGAAACAGAGCGCAGGTTAATGTTCCCTTTAAAGAACACTGAACCGCAGAAGCTACGCCAGTGTCCTAAAAATGCTAATCTCTCCATATGACCACAGAACAGACCTCCACAGAACCATTACCTCCAGCCAGTGGGTCGGTTTATCATAGAAGTTAATGGTGGATTTGGCTAAAAGAGCCCCATTGTTTCTGTGGTTATTGGACAGATGGTTTATCCTGCGTGACAGTCTGGCGGTTTGGTTACAAGTGCATGTTTACAACTACTTTTAATTTTACAGTTTAGAATGATTTTAAACAGTCATGTATATATAGAAATTGTTTATATTTTCTCTAAAGTTAAACCACCGCATGCCTGTTGAAACAAAGAAGACAAAGATGTCTGCTTGAAGAGAGACCACGCTGATTGTTGCTACTTTATTCGTTTCACATGATTATATTTTTGGACCCTATCCAGGCCCCTTGTATCTATCTACTGAACATTTCCTCAATCAGTTAGTAGCATGTTCATTGTACAAGTACCTCTGTGGATGTTCTTTGTTCTGTTTTGTATTTTGTAGACTGAGGTTTGGCGCCAATGTATGCTGATCGATGGGCAACTGAGGAATGTCACGTTTGGGAAATGTCATTTCTAAATCGTACTGATGTCACCTCCTCTGTCATTTCTGTGAATAACTGATAGCCTTAACTTACCAATACAAAATAGTGTTTTGCCTGGAGCAAAAACTTTTGCAATACTAGTCACTAAGAAAAAACCCAAATGAAGGAACAAAATAGGGGGGATAAAACGAGAGGTCAACATCTGTTTTGCCGTGTTGCAATAACTCATTTTTGTTAGTGTCATCGTACCCGCCTACTTGCTCTCAGATAAAAGTGGTGATAGAGCGATGTCCTGCACATCACAAATGAGCTCCATGATGTCTCTGACACCACATACGTCTTCATTTGTGGACTAGGTGGCTTTTATCTATTATTTGTTGCTGTCCTAAAATCTACCCATCACTGTCTCTATTATCATAACAACAATACGATTCTATCTGTCAAAACCGTGCTGCCTCTTGCAGGGTTGTGCTCTATTCAGAATTGAATTAAGAATGCTTTTTAAATTCTGAACTTGAGGTTTTGAATTAAAAATGAACTGTAATTCAAAGAAGTTCATATAATTGTAATGTATAACTAGAATAACTGTGCAGCTTGACATACTTTTTTGAAAGTTTTGAAGAGACGTTGTGAAGTTTGAGGGTTTGTTGGCCTCCCGGACCGAGAGAACGATGGATGGAAGGAAGGATGCATTGCCTGTTGAATTTCTTTGAGTTACAATTCAGTACATTCCTCTTCCTGTCATCCCAAATTTGTGTAGGACGTGGGCAATTCTATTTCAATTCAAACTAAGTTGAAAGGGAGACTATTTATTTATTAATTTTTTTCAGTTCTGAATTTTGCCCAACCCTGGCATCTTCAGACCAAATCAGGAAATATTTTTAAGGATGGTGAACCAGAATCCTGGACTCAAATATGAAGAGACAGTATGGCTTATCTCAGTGTAGCTCCATTCTTAGCTGGGTCAGATGAGTGCCACTGATGCAGTAGAGCCCATATCAACCCTGAATGTGATGTTCTACATGTGTGTTTAACTCACTGTCTTATTCCT